ATGGCTATTTTTAACCCATTGGAGTCGCTGTGCCAGTCCATCTCCCTGAGGTGTCTCCTCTTTTGTGCTGACTCTCTACCTCTCCAAGCATGATCTCCCTCTCCTGGGACTGGTCCCTCCTCACATGTCCACAGGACACGAGACCAACTCCATCCTTCCCTGCTAAGGAGATCTTCAAATAACCATACTCTTGAAGAGCTAAGGTGATCTTAAAAGTTGATGCAAAAAGGATATTATTCAACCAAACTATTGTTGAGGAAGATGTTTATCTAGATTTCCCAGTAACTTGAGAGGAAAACACGTTTGTAGTTGAATAGTAGACAGTTTCAATGAAACTAAAATCTCTTCCCCAGCAATGAGGAGATTCCTGTTTCCTTCTTCTAAGAAAAGTTTAGTTCAATGCACTTTGTTAACAAAGATAACTAAGATGGGGTTCCTGCCCTCCCTGAGTGCCTGCCCTCCAGTGGAAGAGACCGCCTTTTAAACACTGAACTCAATCCAAAGTGGAAAAAGAAGTATCCTCCACCGTAGCATGATCCTCGGGATGCCATTGGCACCACTGACAGGCCAGCCTCGGGAAGACCCTGATTAGCCAGAGATCCTCATAGCCCATCCCAAGAATGATGGATGCTGCTGCTGTTTGCCTGGCCCACACTTCTGTCTGTCTGTAACTATTGCGTGTCATAAATCATGGAAACGCCCAGCCCCACCACAGCGAGCCTAAGGAGCAGAGTAGAAGAGGCCTATAGGATTTCCTAGGTTGTAATGTTTATGGGAGCAGATTGTCAGGTCTAATCTTCTGTAGATCAGCAAATACCTTTGAACCACTGACCCTTTGGTTAGCAGCCGGGCTCTTGACATTGTGCTATTCTTCTTAGGATAAGCCGGTTTATTACTACTAATAGCAGTTAACACGTAAAAAACACCCGCCAGGTGCTGAGTAAGTGAACTATGTACACCAATGTATCTCATCATCTAGCAGCCCCGTAAGGGAACCAATGCTGTTGTCCCCGCGTTGCATATGAGGAAACAAAAGGTCACACACCAGCAAGGGGAGGGTCAGTATGAAACCTGAAAGTCTAACTGCCCCACCAAGATTCTGCATCCCCAGGCTAGCCCCGTGTTCTCAGATATGAGAGCTTAGTCCAGAGATTTAAATTAGCTGGAATATCTGTTCATAAGAAATTGTTTTAGGAATACTCAGCAGTCTGTAAGCTTGGCCCTGACTAAATTAAACAAATCACATACAGACATAGCAAGTAATTTGGGATATAGTGGAGTGTTTTGACATAATTAACATTTTCATCCAAGTTTTAATTGTGTCCTTCAAACTTAGTGCCAACGAGGCAAGTCCAACTCATAGAGACCCTTCAGGACAGAGTAGAACCGCATCAGTGGGTTTCCAAGACTGACTGTATGGGGGTAGAAAGCTTCATCTTTCTCCTGCGGGGCGGCTGAGGGTTTGGGGCTGATGGTTAGCAGCCCAACGCCAGCGCGTAACCACGCTGCCACCATTGCATCCTTCGCTCCCGTGGATGTTGTGTTCCACCGCCCTGTCTCCAACACAGGATTTTCCAGGCTGTCACTCTTGATCGCATTTTTCCCTTGGTGCAACTGATCGATTTGAACCGACAACCTTTTGGTTATCAGCCCAGCCCTTACCTGCCATCTCCCCCGGAGCTCCTCTCCCCCTTGCAGACAGGCACTCGGTATATTTGGACCCTCAGTGCTGGGAACCTCATAAGGTCGTGTGAGTGTTGACTGGGATAATGCATATACAGTGTCCACTGGGGCGAGATCTCAACATGTTGGCCCTTTCTCTAAATGTTTCCAAAATTAGTAATTCATGAATATCTTTCGTTATTTATTTTCCCCCAACCTTCATGCTAATGCCCTGTCATGACCCTGGTCTTCTCTATACACAAATATGTTAGAGAATATTCAGTTTAAGAATAAAATTCCTATTTTTGAAAGGTAATTGCTAAAA